GAGAACCCCAAGGACTCCACAGTTCAACCCTGAGCTACACATATTCACCTCTATTGGAACCTGATAGTGTTACTAGAACTCTTTGTGGCACAGAATTCTTTTAAATCCTATTTCAGCAACTCAGTAGGAATTGACCACAAAAGTCAATAGATGGCTTACACTAAAAATATTCATATAAATTAAAAACTTTCCATGGTGTCAATGTGCAATTACCCTTCTTGTCTGAATGTTTTTGAAGAAATGAGGAAACTATTTTTACAATAAACACTACTGTTGATTTACTGTCCATATTACCTATGATATATAAATGAATTCAATATAAGGAATTTACTTTTCCCCCATAATTAGCTGCCAGGTCCATCATAGCAAAAAATGAAAAATTGCAATACATATTTCACTGGATAAATTATCATGGGAAATTGCTTTGGCTGAATAACTATCAGCTTTAAAGATCTGACAACATAGAATAAATTTATTCACATCTGATCACCACTTATTAGTTATAACCATTTTTTCCTGAACAAATTACCTTCATATTTACATATGTCTATCCAGACAGAAATATTAAATATGGTTTAAAATGTTTGTATTAAGATTTTATTTGTATCCTATTTAGGCACACAATCCCATTTTAATTTGCTTTTAATTTTATACATTATAATCATCCACCCCCTTCATTCTCCCTTAACACACCATTCTTTCTCTTCAATACTTTTAAAAAGTATTTCTATGCAGAATGCACTGGTACATACTTGGCAGAAACTGGGTCAACTGTTAAAACCCATCCTTTGTACTGGTGTTTCTCAGCAGCCAGTACTTTGACTTCTTTATCCACAAAAGCCAGCCATTCCAAAGGAGTCTTCCTCTGCCATTCAGTCATATTTCCTTCTTACTGAACCTAATGAGAAAACAAACATCATTGCCAGCAATACTCTCTGCCTCCCTATTCAGAAATCCTGCCTACTTCCATGATTAAAAACAAAATAGCCCTACTGGATCAAGCCAAAGTCCATATTAGTCCAGTATTGTTTCTCACAGTGGCTAACAGCTTCCTATGAAATGCTTACAAGTAGCAGTTATATCCCTCCCCTGCTGTTGTTCCCCTGACGTTGATATTTGGAATGCATGCTACCTCCAGCCCAGTGGTAATATTGAATCTCAAGATTAATAGCTCTTGAAAGACCTGCCCTTCAAAAACTTATCCAGTCCTTTCTTAAAGAGCATTCACTACATTTTGTGATAATTCTACAGATTCATTATGTCAAAGGCTTTTTGAAAATCCAAGTGTGCAATGTTACAAAGTCAGCTCCATCTATTTGCCTGTGCCCTTTAAAAAAAGTCCTAAAATGGTGAAGCAGGATTTACTTTTCCAGAATCCATGCTGACTTTCCTTTAAAGAGGCTTATTCTATTTTTATCCTCTATTGCTTAGTTATTTTTCCTTTGATTACTCTTTCCACTAATTTACCTTTACCAGCCTATCATTTCCAGGATCTCCCTGTGTCCCTTTTTAAGAATTGCTGTCACACTGCCTGCCTACCAGCAGAGGATTGGACAAGTTACATATTTTTGCTAGGATATCAACAATTCTACATTTCACTTCTTTAAAAACTCTTGGGGGAATGCCTGCCCTGTTGATTTCTTACTGTACAGTATTTCAAGAGGTTTTAGAATATCTTCTCTTAGCTTATTTTGCTTTAGCAATTCCAGTTTTCTGAGAAAATCAATGCAGGCTCAGGAATTTGTCCTACATATTCTATAGTAAAGCCAGATGCAAAGAATTAATTCAGTTTTTCCATATTATCCATAAGAATCCCTTTCACTCCCTTCTCATTTAAAAGTCCAACCACTTTCCTGGCCGTTTTTTTGTTTCAAATATATTTAAATAAGATCTTATTGGTTCTCTTCAGTTTATTGACCGATTGATCTGATGCCGCCTGATTCTCAACAACTCTGGGCATTTTTTATTTATTATTAGTTTAACAATTAATTTGTTAATTATTGTTTATTTGTTATTTGACTTATATCCTGCCTTTCTTCAGGAGCTCAAGATGTACATATAGCACTCCCTTCTTCCATATTTCCCCATAACAACCCTATGAGCTGAGTTGGACTGGAAGAGAGTGCCACGTGACAGTGCTTAACTGAGAGTGGAGCAAAACCTGGGTTTCCTTGGTTGTAGGCCCAACACCATAACAACACTGGCTGTCTGTATAATTTTTTTTTGCCATAAACTCGATTTTTCCTTTCTTTTTTACATTCCTTATTAACCAATTCATTTTTTTCTGCCAAAGCTTGGGTTATTTTTGGCAGGGCAGGCTTTCCATTTCTTGAAGGAAACCTTCAGCCACTGACCCAAAATTTTGATATCAAAAATACATAACTGTTTTCTCATTAATTTGAAGTATAAGCACATTATACTCCTATCATAAGAAGGTAAAAGTCCAACCCTATACATATCTATTTACAAATGGGGCCACTGAGTTCCACAGAACTTATTCCCAGGCAAATATATATTGTATTGTAGCCTTCATCCGACCTACTGCCTCAAAATAAACTAATTTATAAACTAATGTAGCACTGAATTGCACTCTCGGTCACAGGAACAGCAACAAGATGCGTTCATAATGCTATACTTCTGGAACTGAACCAAGGAGGACATCGATACTAATTGAGGCTCTTTTTTTTACCTAAATCAAAGTAACTGGGGTGGGAAGATTTAAAACTCTCCTACTTACTAAAGTATAAACCAGAATCAGAATATGTTTTAACATATACAGATTTTATACCAAAGGTATAGAGACCAAGAATCACAGTCGACCTTGATCGCTATTTCCCAGCAATTCACCTCACAGATTTCTTTTTGGAGAATAAGGCGAGAACGCCCCACATACTTTGAGTTCTCCAAGGAAAGGCAGGGTATAAATACAATAAAGTAACAACAATAATTACGATTCTAGGAACAACAACTAGGAATTCGTATCATCGAAATCTCTTTGCTAACCGATTTCCGTACCGAAGACGAGGTTGAGATATTATTCCATCGAGTAATCTTTCTGTTCGTTAGTACCGAACTAAGCAATGTTCCTAAGAGTATGAACCCCAATACATACAGGTCCGGAAAACCTGCAGTTACGAACACACCGTTTTGCCTCGCGGTTGCTACAGCCAAATCTATAAAATTATAGGCGTTGATTAAAAAAGCTGGACTGCAGGACTGCAACTTTCCCTATTAGTAAAGCAGAGGTAGCACTCACCAGATACATACAAAAAGAAACTGCAACCCGGGCATCCAGTTTCAGCAACCGCCACTCAGTCCAGGACGGCCTTTAAAGAAAGCGCGAGGACGCTACGTTCCGGCCCAGCCGTCATTTCTGAGGCCCAGAATGCACCGCGCTCAGGGGCTTCTTTCCTCCCCTTCCGTAGCCGGATCTTTCTGTGGGATTTGCTGAATTTCAAGACGGACGGGGCTAAGTGGAGGAAGTCGTTTAGAACATTATGCTGCTTTATTTAAGTAACGTGGGATCTCTACGATTAAAAAACAGTTTTGAAATACTGATTCACGGCGGAATTCTGTGCATGTTTCTTCAATGCTTGGCCATCTGTATCAAAACAGAATTAGCAATTTACCAAGAGGCGATTCCGTTTCTGTGGTTACTTTCCAGTTCGTCTCTTTTTTCTCTGGATTTTTAGGATTCATCTTTTAAACGTTTTATCTTCTGGGCGTTATTATACATTGGCTATCTTGTTTTAGATGCATTTGAAGTCTTTGTTAGTTAGGTAAGTTGCTTCGCAAGGATAACTAAAGGTTTCTGAAGGCTGACTACTCTAAAAATGTTTCCTTTAGCTGGACCTCGAGTTTTGGTGGCTTTATGGACATTGTCTTGGCAAAAAAAGATTGGCCTTCTTCCACAGCTCTTCGTGATCTAGCTCACAGTTGTGGAGTTTTCTAGTGGTCCCCCATCCAGGTATCAACTCGCCCGGCGCAGTGTTGTTTTTCTGAGATCAAGATGGCACTGCTAACAAATAACTGAACGTAGGCAAAGGTTCTGATAAATATTAGAGAAGTGAAGTCAAAGATGGGCATTTGAAGAAATCAGTAACTTTGCTTTCCCTAGCGCTCTACAAAATCTGTTAGGATCTCGAACGACCTCAAACGATTTTTAAAATATATATTAACTACTGCTTACGAATATATCTACAGCGGCTGTACGACTCAAGCACTTTAAACTTAAAACAGGCGATATTTTAAACACACCTCTTAGGGGCACTAACCACGCTCAAAATGGCGTCACATCCAATCTCCCGTCCTCTCCTCCCCTTTTTCAGACTAACGTTACTATGGAAACAAAAACTCTCTCTTTCCCGCCTCGCCCGTCCGCGGCGGTCTCTCAGTTATAGTGCGCATGCGCATCAACGGCGCACTGTATATAAGAACCGCAACTCCGCATGCGCTCGGCGACGGTTGTTGTTTTTTCGTTGGCGAGAGGATGTCGCGCTATAGCCGTTATGGTGGCGGTAAGTGACGCGAGTTGAAGCGTGGTGGGAGGAGGGTGTCATCTGTATCCGTGTTTCTATACTCCGTGTCAGTTGGTGTAATTTTACTTTTTTGACGGTGCCAAGCTGTATCTACAGGCATGTTAAGGCCCGTTGAGAAATGACCCGGCGCCATTTTGCACATGTTACAGTCGCTGGATGTACTGAGGTGAACTTCCTTCGAGTCGGAATTACTAAATCTAAATGCGCAGATACGCTGTTGGATTGCTTGAGGAACCTTCGTAGTGGAGGCCGGCAGGGACTTAGTGGCTTAGCTGAATTTTCTTCTTTCTCACTTTCTATTAATGCTACTACCGGTGTGCGGGTAAAATGGAGGCGGTACTAAAGATGGCGGCGTCCGTGATCGGCGGGGCAGGAAGGTGGGGGGGGAAGCCGCGGTAGCGGGCAAGCTTGCAACGGGATGGCCGCGTGTGTCCACCGTCAGGAAGCGGCGGCGTCGTAGTGCGCACGCGCGCGATGAAGCATGAGTGCCGCTATGCCTACTTGGCCTTGTGATTCAGCGGCTTCCCGGGCTCGAGTGGGTGGAGTAGTTGGACTGGAGCGCTGCCGCGTGAGCGAAGGACAGCTACTTTTGCCTTTTTCTGGAAACCAAGCCAGTGCATGCAGAATGAAAATAAACTGTTGTAGAACAAACTAGCGTTAACATGATTGCTGTGAGCACAAATCTGAAAAATAAACCAAACTGCTATACCCAATATACTAAGAAGCATGGTTTACAGGAAGTAGATAGCTTGGTTAAATTCATCTGGAAGGCTATTCATTTTAAAGTAAGCGTTATTAACTATAGTAGAACTTGTGCTCCATTAAGCAAGTTTTTTTTTGTTTGAAGTAGTCTTAAAAGACAGCTAAACCTGGTTTTTGCAATTGCTGTTTTCCCCCTGTTTTTGCAGAAACAAAAGTGTATGTTGGTAACTTAGGAACAGGCGCTGGTAAAGGAGAACTTGAAAGAGCTTTCAGCTACTATGGGCCATTACGTACAGTGTGGATTGCACGAAACCCTCCTGGATTTGCATTTGTTGAGTTTGAAGACCCAAGAGATGCTGAAGACGCTGTTCGTGGTCTAGATGGAAAGTAAGTGGGAATACAGATTTGTTACTGAGGAAATAATTTCCCTTTTTATAGTGGAATTAGGTATGCTGACTGAAATGTTTTGCTTTTGTAGGGTAATCTGTGGTTCCAGGGTTCGAGTGGAGTTATCAACTGGTATGCCTCGTAGGTCTCGCTATGATAGACCCCCAGCACGGCGACCATTTGATCCTAATGATAGATGTTATGAATGTGGTGAGAAAGGTCATTATGCTTATGACTGTCATCGCTACAGTCGTCGGAGAAGAAGCAGGTATGTGTAGATACAAGTAGTCTGTCTTTAATAGTTAACTATAGTTTTGGTTAGCAAAAAAGGAAATAAGCACCATTTTAAAAATAATATAATTATATAGGTATGTTACATTTGTTTATATTTTGTATTAAAATGTTAATATGTTAATAATCAACCTGGTCAAAACCTTTCAGGTTTCTTCGTTTGAGTCAGTCGCCTTGATTCAGAATGTCACGAGCCTTAAGATTTCATGCTGAGGCGCCTTGCAAATCCGACAATTAAGATCCTCCTAGACCTTGAGGTGATCAGCATAAGAGGCCAGATCCCCTCGAGCCATCTACACCTAGCTTCACCTTATTCTTTAAAGGGCAGAAAAATTGAGACGGTGATCGCCGTAACAGTAAATTTGGCTTTCAATTGGGCCCCCCTCCGGTTTAAAAAGAGGAACACCAGATTGACCACATTCCCACCTAGAAAAATCTTCTTGCGTCAATCAAGCCTCACCTGGCTCATTTGGCTGTCAGTTTGATCGTCGTTAGATTGAAGAGAACACCTAGATGCAGCGATCGGCTATAGATACTTCTAGATCGTCTAGATCTGCTAGACCTTGGGCCAAAGAGGGTCGACCTGCAAACTTGCAAGGTTTATTTTAAATACACATTACAGTGTTTTATATTATGATGTAATTCTAAAATGTTATACAGTTTAACATCTTTGTTAGGTAGTAAAAATACTCAAGACAAATAGGCCCTAAATTTTTCATCTGACAGACACTAATTTTTAGATAGCTGATGTTTTGGCTTCAGCAAAGGCTCACATGCTAATTGTTGAGTGTGTGGTCTAATTTTTTTTCTCTAACCTAAAACTAGGTCACGGTCTCGGTCTCATTCAAGGTCCAGAGGAAGAAGATATTCTCGCTCACGCAGCCGCAGTCGTGGCAGGAGGTCAGCATTTACATCAGTAGAGTACTCTAGCTTAATAGGCAAAGAACAGTATAACTGTAAGCCTATTTCTGTTTAGATCCAGGTCTATCTCAGCTCGCAGATCTAGATCGCTGTCTCCTCGTAGATCTAGATCTATTTCGCCACGTAGATCCCGTTCAGGTTCTTTAAAGAGATCAAGGTAATTTGGCTAGTATTTATGATTGCGAAATAGACACTTCTTAGTTTTTGACTGCTGTAATACTGTATGTGTGCATTAATTAAATCAGGCCAGCAGCTATCAGTATTGTGAATTTTACCAGACTCAGTATTAGGAACATAATTGCAGTTAGCCCTTGTTATCTGTGGTTTCATATATTTATAATTGCGAAATAAACTAAACTTAATAGAAGCAGAGGTTTTAGCATCTCTCTTTCTCTGGTTTTTGTTATTTTATATGTAAAGTAGTGGAAGATCTTTTTTGCATGTGTGCAAAATGCATTTATTAAGGACTAAATCATCTGTGTAGTGTTCCTCTACTCTCATTGCAGTGTCATGATGAATCTCTGGCTCAGCCAAGTATAAGACTGAATGGCAGCTGGCTTTTGGAGTAGTTTGGCTGGTGACTGAGAGGTCTTGCTGTACATAGCTCATACTGGCTTTCCTGCTTTGGGGTGCTCTTAGGTCACACTGCTGAACTGTACTCTTCCTCACAGATTGTTTATTATGATAGAGCTGCAGGTGCTCTGGAGATTGGTAGCATCCACTGGCACAATTGAGAGATCACCATCAGTAGTTGCAGTAGCACTAGCATCCAGTGGTATGAGTGAGAGGCCTCTCCACTGATACAGTGAAAGAGAGGATAAAAGTGAGCATCAGTGGAAAAAGTCCATCACCAGTTGAACCAGTTACTTTGAAGAAAGCAAGCCACATGAAACCTTGCAACTAGACTGACCCAGTGAGATCTGCTGTGACTGAGTGAGGAAGAACAAATACTGTTGTGCTACCAAATGACTGCTGGGGGAGGAAATACTTGTGGAAAGGAGGATAACTCTCTGTCACATAGTTTATAGATTTGGAGTCTTATAATTTGCAGTTTTCTGCTGTTTTAAACTGAAGGGAG